TATTGTATTTAAGTTGAGGAAACTGAGAGTGACTATGGTGACATTTTTTAAAATTATCTTTTGGATTTCGAGAAAATATTCATGCATAATATTATATTGGTTTATTGTATAATACATTACACGGGCCCGTATACTAGTTATTGCAGGTGATTAAAGTGATTATTTACATTCGAAACCTATTTTGTCACAGCAGACGAGAGACTTACCAGGGTTTTTTTTAAGGTTTATGATCTGAATGAATAAGAAATGCGTATTTATACTCAATTCAATTGAGAATTGAATTTCAACTTTCACTGAAAATATTTGGCTGGATTTTGTGTGTCCGTATGATCTTATAGCCACCTCAGTCCCTGCTGCGACAAATTCCGAAGAATATATTTTATTAGAAAAACAATAAGTGACCATACACACGCTAACTGACTTCATTTTGTATACTATTATTACTTACTGGCTTCTATTGTAGTGTAGTCTACGGTAAACACGTGAAAGCTAAACGCTTTAATTTAAAATTTAAAAATATGCATGCAAACATGCACTAAAAAAGTCAAAATATGCAAGAAAAAAATGCAAAATAAAATTTCAATTTTTATTACATTTTATATTTGATTTTAATTTTGCAGTGATAATTATTTATTAGTTTTATTAAAATTCTCATAAACAAAATGTAAGATGTATAATATAACAAATATGTAATACAATAATGTATAATTTGTTAAATTTTAATTTAATTTTTAATCATTGATCCATTCTTTTTTTTTTTTTTTACAAGAAATATACAATCTATACAGATAAGCACAATAAGTATATGTGAGATAGGGGTAACAAAGCATTAAGGGGTTACGTGAGTAAGAAGCCACCCAACGGTAGTACTTAGCTTGTTTATTATGTGATTATTATAACTTATTAGGATTAGGTTAGATGATCCCTACACCATTTCCTTTTCAGTCTGCGACGGGGATTTCCAGGAAGTGACGGGATATGTAAGCCTTTTATTAGAGGATTTACATGGTTTTCTAATTTATAATAGAATCTTTTATAGAAAATAGCAGCTTCCTCCTCTACTGTTTTTATACCTAGGTCTTTGTGTAGGGTCAGGTTAGAGACGAAGGGTGGTGCATTTGTGATTTTACGAAGGGTAATATTTTGGAAGGCCTGAATTTTATTTAGATTTGATTTTTTTGCCGATTCCCATAGTTGAATTCCATATGTCCATATGGGTTTCAGAAGTGATTTGTATATTTGTAGTTTTGTTTTTAAAGAAGAGAATTTATTTTTTGAAAGTAATAATTTTAGAGAACGGGAGCGGGCATTAAGTATTAATCTTTTTTTCCGAATATGATTTTGCCATGTTAGTCTTTTATCGAGGTTTAGTCCTAAATATTTAACATTGTCAAGAGCAGGGATAGGTAAGTTATTTACAGTTACGTTAGGGCAGTGTCCGTGTCTTAGGGTGAAAGTTGTGTGAATGGATTTGTTGTTATTTAATTTAATTTTCCATTTGGCATACCATTCTGAGAGTAAATTTAGATGTGATTGTAAATTTCTAGAAGCAATTAGTGGATCATTATGTACTGACAATATGACTTTATCGTCAGCGTAATCAGCAACAATAGTATTTGGTGAGGAAGGTTGATCGGCAGCATAAATATTAAATAGGATAGGAGAAAGAACACCTCCTTGGGGTACTCCTGCACTAATTGTGGCTATATTTGAGGTGGCGGAACCTTGACGTATTTGAAAATGTCGGTCAGTAAGATATGATTCCATTAGTAGAAATAGAGTAGGAGGAAGAAATTTGCGTAGTTTGAATAGAAGACCTTCATGCCAAACTTTATCAAAAGCCTGGGAGATGTCTAAAAATGCGCAAGTACAGTAGCATTTGCTTTCAAGGGAGGTAGAGATTGCATCAATTACTCTATGGACCTGGTGTACTGTGCTGTGTTTGGCTCTAAAACCAAATTGTGAGGACGGGAGTACATTTTTTGCTATTACGTGCGGATAAATACGTTTGAGAATGAGTCTTTCACAAATTTTTGAGAAGTATGGTAATAGACTTATAGGTCTATAGGATGTTGGGAGGTCAGGAGGTTTATCCGGCTTAGCAAACAAATTGATCCATTCTAAAAAATATTTTATTAAAATTAAATAGTAGATACATTGGTGATATACTGATATAAATAGGACAAAAGTACGAAAAATTTAATGTAGTATGTTATTTGGAAAAACAATAACATAACCTATTTTTAGCGTCCGAATATTCTTTGAGATGCAAAATATTTGATATTAATATTATATAAATCGTACCTAAAATCTGTTTTTTTTTTTTGCTCAGCACCTTTTTAGATCGTTAGGTGTATATTTGCACGGTTTTTTGTTAAAATATGAAGAAATATGTGAAACATGCACTAACGTCAGATCGTCAGAATATACGAAAATATGCACTATAAAATTTAGATATTTAATCAATTAATGATTTGTGGACACTCATTGTCTGTATGTATATGATGTTGAAAATAACAACAAGCATTTTATGCAAAACCCGGTCTTTACAGATAATATTATAAAGGTATATAGTTCAATATTTGCATCGTAAATCCCTAACCCTTACTTTGTGTAATAAGATGGTCTGATGTCAATAGTACACGTTATTTCTTTAAAAAATTCTATTTTTTATTAAATATGTGTATTCAATTTACAACTTAGTAATTTTACAGTCCAAGTGTGAAAGTGTGTGTAACATTCAATAATCTCAGTGACGTTCAAAATGATAAGCTCTGAAAATTGTTTTTAATACCTACTACAATAGCTGCTCCAAATTATATCTTTTATACATAATATTATATATACACAAATCTACAAATCCTACACATAATATTTACTGATAAAGGAAAAGTTTCATATTAATTTCACTAGCTCAACATTGAAGTCTCCAACTTTCTTTCTATACTGATGATATCGAGTACGTAATAAGGCAGGTATCTATGTAAATGCATGTGTGTACAATGTATCCGAATGCGACAATGTGTACCTAAATAACCTAATTGTGTCAAAATTTCAAGTCTGACTACACTCTTCGAGTTTTTCAAGCATGAACATTATACGGTTCACAAGCTGAATTTTAGATTACGAGCTTAGAGAGTAATATATTGATTTTACAGTGATGTGTGTGTTTTTTTTTGTGTCTGTCATAACCGTTTGGGACAGTAAAGCTTCGATTTTTTTCAATAGCATTTTTTCTGTCAGGAAAGTGAATCTAGTTGTTTCTTTGGGAGCCAAAATTAAAAATTCCCAATAGTTTTCAATAAAAAGCAAACAATAAATTAAGGAAAAACTGGAATTTTTACGGAAACCCAGTTTTCCTAGAATCGATTTAAATTTTTGATGTAACTCTAAAAAAAAATAACCTAGATTCATGACATTTTTACTGGATTTTCTATACACCATAAAATTGTATAAAAAGTTTGACTCATGTTGAACTATTTATAGCCAATAGGCATATTAAATGTTCAGTTATTATTAGTTTTTTTTTTGAAAAAAATTGTCTCTCTGTCAAAAAACTCGTAAGTTGTTGTAAGTAGAAATTTAAAAAAAAATTGATGGTAAAACTAATTTTTTATGAGCATTTGAATTTAAAATTTTAATAAAATTCGTAAAAATCATGAAAAATAGCAAAATTGTTTTGGAATAGAAGTGTATAAGATTTTTTCTTTTTGTGCCTAAGATTTTAAAATTGAATACAAGATTCCTCATAAATTTTGCTTACCTATATCAAAATAAAAATTTCTACCTTAAAGTCAAATAACATTTTTATAAGAATTTGAAATTGAAATATCTACAATATTGGATGTTCACTCGATTTCTCATGTAACGATTTTTTTATTTCGTTGTAATTCAAAAATGAATAACTGTAGATACTTTAAATTTACAACATGAGTTTTTTTTTCACGATAGTATCATCAAATGTATACTAAATTATTACTAAGTAATAATGTAATATAGGCTTACTGACCGTCTTCCCTCAGAATCGTTTTTCCTATATCTACAATGATTTCATACCATTGAGCTCAAATTTTACACCATACATTACAATGACTCACTTGCAAACCAGTACAGCAGAACGACAACATCGACTTAGGTGCCCACTTTTTAGATAAAAGATTGAATTTGATTATTTATTATTTATTTATTGAAATTATTATTTGAACCTTGTGTGGAAAATAGGTGGATGTGTCAATAAATTATTGTGTTCAACCATACTATTTTAAACATTATTTCAATATACAGTATATTATATACTTTTATACTATAACTACCTACTACTTTTATGTAAACTACCTATAATTATCCATTTTTTTTAAAAGTAGTTTCTGGCCCCTTTGCTATTAAACAGCTAAGCTCTTCGCGTAGACAAATGCATATGAAGTTAAAATACATTTTAATTTATAATAATTAAATTTCATATACTTTGTCTCACTGATTTATATCATACGATTTGGAAAAATTAGCATTGTACGAATTCCTTGATTTCGGCTTGATGGGGAAAATTCTGAATTATATTTTTCACAAAACGTTATGTTTTCCAGTGGCGTGATTATGGGAAAGCTATAAGGTCTGCTTAAGCATCCCCAGATCAAATGTAAGCACCCCCATGTTCCATGTCGTTGTAATTTCAAATAGATGTAGTTCAAATATTGTAATTTAATTTTTAAGAATTCATTATTTTTTTTTTCTTATCTTGGCGATCTTGCATTGTGATAATATTTTATTATTATTGTATTATAGGTAGGTATATTACGATCTGAAATTACAAAATGTCAATTTATAATTTTAGTAAATTGTTATAAGATATTTGTTAGGAGTAATAGACATATTCAGTATAATATTACGATCCAAAACCGCTATATTAGGGAAGGTTGAGGTTGGTAATGATAACATTTGAGATATTATCGAACCCTAGGCTCTTATCATTTTCTAACAACTATCAGATTCTGACTAAAAAACTGATATTAATATATTATAATACTACTATAAAGACTTATAGTGTATTACTATAAAAGCTATTAAAGTGTAAGTCTAAAGATATTACAGTTAATATAAGTTATAATATTATCATAAGTGGTTTTAGTAGTTTTACTGGTGTTATTAAATTACATATTTCTTGTACAATGTCTAAACGAGACTTACAATTTACAAGACACTAAATTGGATGGTAAGTTTTTCACAAACTTTACATACAAAATCGCCAAATAAATGTGGTTACAATTTTCCAATGAATTACCTGAATACATTGCCTGTCACAAAAAAGAACTAAATTCATTCCTATGAATGGAAAAAGGTAGATACATTTTTTTTAAACAGGTTGAATTTGTTGATATTTTATTATTACATTTTTAATTACTTATATTTTAGGTATGGCAAGATATAAGAACCACTATCAAAATAAAAGATCCTGCTATTAAAAACATACTCACTGGACAGGAGTTGGATGTCCGTGTGATATTACCGGTGTTCAGTAGTAACACATTAATGTAACAACGTAACCTTATTTATAATGTGTAGGTACCTAATTGATTTAAATTCACTAAACACAGAAAAAAATATTTAGAAAATACAATTTAATGCACATATAAAAAAAATAGTTTAAAAAAGCTTTAAAGAAATCCCCTAAAAATTATTTTAAACATTGAAAAAATAACTTAAAAAATATAGTTAAATGCACTTTACAAGAAAAATAGTTTTAAAAAAACTTTATTTTGTGTGATTAATCGCCTACATACTAAGATAGGAACATGCGCTATCAATTGTTTAGTGTGTAAGTTACTTAATGCGTTTTAAAAATAGAAATAGAATTTTTTTTTCAGAACTAAATCAAAATACATTTTATCAAATTTTGTGATAATACTATGAAGTATGTAAAAATAAAAATTTAATGCATTAAAAAACCTAAAAAAGCAAAATAAAAGTTTCAGTTTTCAATTCTCTAACCTATGAAATAAATTTCTTACTTAAGAAGCATTGTTATAGGATATTCAGAAATAAATTAAATTTGCATTGAGATCCATTCCCTATAAATGTGTTCAAATTATTTCCATGACCGAAAATGTAATAGATATTTTTTTTGATAAGTAATTCCTATAATTTAACACATTACCATTTCAGCTTGTTTTGAGTATTGTGGTTTATAAAAACAATAATCACCATAATAAATATTAATACTATACAATATGTCTAAAATGTTGAGTATTGAGTATACAAATAAATATAAATGTTTATTTTGTTTTGTTTTAAATTGTAACAGTTCGGTTTTCAATAGTTTGAACCACATAAATTACAAAAAAAGTTAATTAAATAAATCACATTTTAATTCTGAAAATACGTAACAGAAATATATCTTAATAGTCCAACATTTTCAATTTTTGTATGTTATATATTTAAAATATAGCTAACTGATTCTTTATAGTATTTTTTATCAGAGTAACGAGTAAAGTAGCTTAATTACTTTTAAAAGTAACTTACTCAACTCGGTATATTACATTATTTAAAGCTCAAATGGATATATTAACTTTAATAAGTTGACTTTCTGCGTATCATTGATCCAACAATTCAGAATCAATAGTCAATTTTGATTTTCAAGCATTTAAAATTACATCAAATATAAAGTTATTAACTTATAAGTTAATTTAATGTAACACGAGGTAAATTAATCTTTACTGTTTATGTATACTACTCAGAAAAAAATATTTTAAATTTCAATGGTTAAATACAATTCATTTTTAGATATAGAAAATATAGATATTGATACTTACCAGTCTATATTGAAAATGGCCAAAAAGAATGTATGTAAACGTGCAAATTTAAACCTAGTTTATTGTTAGTTATTTTATCAATCAAAATATTTATTCAATTTTTAATTTAATATATCTAGATAACATTTTAATTGCTTCAGATTGCAAAATAGCAGAACGTTTTTAAAGAAGTAACCAAATTTGAAAAGTTTTCTAAAATAAGGATGATTAATTAAAACATAAATATATGATGTTACCTATTTTTAAATATTCATTTTTTTTTAGTTCTAAAGAAAGATCTTCAGCTGTTCAAGAAGTTACAAGCGGTTACAAGCAAATAATTATGTTGCAAAATTTATAGCCGACCACACTGATATTAAGATAGAAATTAACTCAGCATATTATTTTGAAAAGTTAAAGCTAATGTATGATAACTATGGTCTCTTAAGCAGCATAAACATATTGCTGAAGTCATTCATTAAAACAAGAAGCGATCAATAAAATTCATTATATTTAAAGTTTTTAATTTAATTGGTACGTCCGAGTTATCTCGACTACTTAAATGTTTCCAAGACTACCTTAACATTTCCAAGATTATTTCATATAACCTGATAATATACTTAACTTTGATCGGCTAAGGTTTTAAAGTGGCTAAACAAAAACCAGAGGGGAACAGTTCACCATCTTCTAGACTCATACCTGACTTAGCTTGTTTGATCCATTTTCAAAGATTTGTAATTAAAGTGTGCTTTCCTCCACAAAAAAATTATCAACTTTTATTTAAATTATTTAATTTTTGTTTTAAATTTAAAAATATTTCTTATACTTTTAATAAATTATTTTTACCTGATAAATAATAAACACCTTACTAATAAATATAGAAATGAATGTTAATTGAATGTCAAAAATATAATATCAATACACACATTTTTATTTAAAAATTGCTATAGTTAAGATAAACCAGAAGATTAAACCAGGTGTCTTGGAAATATAATGGTAGTTGTACACCTAAGGTAGTTTGGAAGTATTATTTTATAAAATAAACAAGTTTAGTAGTATGTAATAAAATTTACTTTTTACTGTAAAAATAAAATAAAAACATAAGACTGAATAAAATTTAATTTACAAGACAAATTCCAAGGCTCGTCCAAGTTAACTATTTTTTGAACTCGTTCAGTTAAATTAATATAGAAAATGTAATTTAGGTAAAAGTTAAGTTACTTTTTTTTTTAACTTGTAAAAGTTATAAGTTAATATTAGAAAAAAAGTTACTTAACTTGATTAAAAATCAGTTCCTTTTTTTCTTATAAAATGTAGAATTTAATTTTAAGCTGGAAAAATTGCATACATGTAGTAATATAATATAGGTATTTCAATTTAAAATAAAAAATGTATGTGTGTAAATAAATAAATATTTCTAGGCAGGTACTTTTACACTTAAATCAATGATGAAAATCAAAAAATTATTTAATTATATTTATATATATTTTTACCAAAGAGGCTCCAAATTTTTCCACTGTGATAGTAAAATTCTTTTAATCTTTTTTAAAATAATAATAATCAAATTCATTATAAAAATATAATAAGTTATACATTAAATATTAATCAATGAAAAGTAAGAAAAAATAATAGCCTATAAAAATAGTAGTAGATTGCCTACCTGATAATATATTACTTGCATAATCTCTAGCGAGTCTTATTGGCAACACCTGGTTGGATGGCTATAAATTAAAATACAATATGATTTACACTTAAAATGACATTTATTCAATCACAACTTTTTCCCAGGCAAGGTCGGAGGGGATGGCTAGTTATGCTCAGTGTTTTTTTGTAACTTGAAAACATCCTCCACCGTATACTATTGTTTGCCTAAATGCCTAATAAACTTAACCACTAAGACAAATCAATAACCCCTACAAAGTCACTAAAATAAAAGTCTTTTTAAATTTATTTAATAAATAATTGGTATAATAATATATAATACATCATTATCTTTGAAATAAGTAATTCATTAATACATATTATACTATATTCAAATTTTAATTATGTAATAATACTAACATTAAAACCATCTACTTTGGAACATTCGTCTAGTAGGTATACCTAATATCAAAGTCAACATTTTCAACAACATCTCTCAAAAATGTAGAATTGCGGTGATATCTTATTTCTTAATTATATCAACAATTCAATTCAATATAATACATTTTATATTATAAAATTGCTACAGTATTTTTGCTATTCAATAAAATATGATCAAGTTTTCATTTTTTCAATTCAAATTTTAAAACGATTTTTTATGAATATATATGATATCGTTTTCAAAATATTTTAACTCGTTTCGAGTTATTTCTAGGCATTAAAATTTTTTTTTCTATAAACATCGATAATAAAAATGTGTTTGGTCAGAAATCTTGAACACTTAATACAAGGTTCCCCATAAGTTTTTATGATAGCAGTTAAAAAATACTAACGATACTTGGGAACAATTTTGTTATAATCATTTAATGTTTAAAGTTTTACAAAGTCTCAAGAATTTGCAAAGTTGTATTCCTATTTTGTAGTTAAAAATTTATAAAATGTTCAATTTTCATAGCCAATTATTTAAAATTCAAAACACAGTTTTTCATAAGAAGTTTAGTCGAACTATTAATAGTGTATACTGTAACCAAAAAAATCTAAAAAATATGTATATACAGCTTTTTTTAGTATATATATGTTCAAATTTAGACGAAATTAAATGTTTAAATAAAGAACAATGATTTTAGTTAATTTGTTGCAATTTAAAAATATGTTCATGGGCGTGTTATATTTGACTTTTGTATAAAAAAATGTTACCTAATATCCGATAAAGGCCGATTGCAATTTTGTAGATAATACTAATATGGTTTTTAATTAACCGGTTTCGGATCGGTGTCAAAGCAAACATTATAGAGTCTAAAAAAGAGTTGAATAAACTATGATCGAGAACACTTAAGCTTTATTTAAAACAAACACAGCATTTAAATATAATTGTTCATTTGTTCATGTTAAGAATATGTACGGTGTATCTTGTAGCAAGTCTGCAATATAGTTGGTGTGTAGGTGGTTCTTACTACTTAGGCATTACTTTTGTAGTCTTGTGCCGTTTCCGCACATATGCTATACCCATGCTGCGGCCTGCGAGTAGCGGCTACCAAGTTAAAAATTCAAGACATGTGCCAAAACGATTTCAATTGTGCGTTGTTATGAACACTCGTTTTCAAGGAGACCTATTTTCATTTCCTTGTCACTCGTACAACTTATGATAATGAAATTAAAAATGTACAAAAACCTACACTTCATACATTATGTATATAACATATTATATATCTATAATAGTATGCCCATTTTCGACCCCGAACATTTTGGTCTTATCTTGATTTTGGAAAAAACAGAATTCATTGCTGGTATCACGTAGGCCGAAATGCAACGTGGGTAGGTTTTGGCTGGTACAAGCGGTGAATTTCCGATGACGTATGTATATTTACACAAACAGTAATGGAATGTGACATCACTCGTAAAGTCGTAAACAAAACAATACAAATCAAACATACCCACTGAATATCTGTTCCCTGGTGGGGGAGGGGAGACTTGAAAATTAATTAAATTTTTATTTTGTCCACTTTAATAATTCCAGACGTAAATACTAAGTTGGATCTAGTTGTATTTTTGGGAGTTTGAGATTGAAAATTCTCAGTATTTTTTAAAATAATCGGAAAAAACAAAAATAAACATATCGCGGTTCGACTTATCGAGTTCCCACTGTATTTAAGATCAAGAAAAAATGTAATAACAAAATATTATTGTAAATCCTTGGCTCAGTGGTGCCGAGGCCCGTAATCTATTTTTCAATATACATTAAAACTTTATTATGAATATGTATATGAGTTTATTTGAGCCACGATTACGAGTACTTAAATATATATTAAATAATTAAGATATTGAGACTGAGAAGTTTTGAAATTGTCCGACCACATTTTCATAAAAAATATTATGCTCTATAGACTATAATTTTGTTAATATGTACTTACGTAGGAGATTTTTCACCGAGATCACTCAAAAATCACAAAAAATAATTTAAAGTGTGTACATTTTGTATATATTGCACTCGAGTTTGAGAGGGAAAATACGAATATTGTGCTGATATCCTCTAAACCAGTGTTTCCCAACCTTTTTACCACCACGGACCACTTCCACAATATTTTATAGGTCGCGGACCTCCTCAATTTTACACAAACTAGGAAGACCTTTTTTTTTTTTTTGCTCATTAACAAGAATACACAAAATTTATTGAAAAATTTTTATGATTTTACTGTAATAACTATTATATATAATTATTTAATTATTAAACTTTACTAAAAATTTACTTAGTGTGATTTTTGTGGCTGCATTTCTTTGACCAGTTTTTCAATTCTTGGATGAATGTTGCTAATGGCTAAACGCATGTCGTCACTTACGTCCAAGCGATTTCTCTGTTTATTTTTGATCACAAGTAGACTGGAAAATCCTTGTTCACACAAATACGTTGTTGAAAATACTACTAAATAACGTAAGGCAATTTCCCGTAGTTGAATATGTAATGTTACCCTTCTGCACCAAAATTCCTCAAGGTTCATACCAGAATCAAACATATTTTTGCAGTCAGAGTCATTTTGCAGTTTTAATAGAAAACTAAGAAAGGTACCGCGGACCACCTATGACTGGCCCACGGACCACCGGTGGTCCGCGGACCACCGGTTGGGAAACACTGCTCTAAACGTAAAATATTATGGAAATCACTAATTATTCACTTATACGATATATGTATGGTACCTATGACCAAATATTATATGGAAAGGTATCATGCACAATTTATACGATGTTACGCATGTACTGCACCAATACATTACTTTTGTTAGAAAATAAATTTTAGTAAGAATAATAGATTATACTTGATAAAATACCATCATCAATCTACTATCGTACCTTAATCTTTTGAAGTTGAACTCATGTTTGGCAATCCTCAATGTATTTATAAGTTATCGACATCATCGTAAATACATCTGCTATACCTTGTGTTATATAAAATACAAACAAGTGGACAGCCTACCAATTTTAGAAGGTTAATAATAACCTAACGTCTAGGACTATAATAATATTATCAAAATTATATACTTTAAAGGTACCTACCAATTATAATGTAATATGTACAGACAGTACAGTTGCATTTTAACCTAGGGGATGTATGTATAGGTGTTATGCACAAACTTCATTCTAAAGTATTATATTACACGGCGTTTGATACATACAAAATAAAAATCTCTATTCCTATGTACAGATAACATAATATATACAAATATACAATATACATGCTAGCTTACACACGACAAGCATTGAGTATTGTTCGAAACACAATGTTAAGTGTGACGTAAATAAATAAAATAATACGATTTAATAGGTTAATTGAAGAATTCATTGTTATTACTTATTTGTTTTATGGTGCACTGCAATGTACGATAATCATTATTTAATATTTAGCCTATTATGGTGCACTTATATCAATATCATATATCATGTAATAGAGGCTATCTGGCTATAATATGATAATGTGTTACTTTCGACGTGAATACGCGATATTACCTACTTACTTGCTGCAATTAGTCACGAAATTTAGAAATGATTTTCACATCATACCTATCAACCGATAAACAAGTAATGTGATCTTAAGATTTATAGGTATTTATTAGGTTTATATTATGAGGGGCATTTAAAAATGGGAAAAATACGTATCGACGGTAGGTAATTAATAATTGTACCATAATCGAACGAGTATAGGTATAATAAATTAATAACTACTTTTGAATGACTGTATATTGTGAAACAAGAACGACGGTAATTATTTAATTTAAGGTTGCCTATATATCTGTGTAAACAATTTAAACGTTAGTTATACCTTATATTTTACCTCCATTGTATAATAGCTTATTAAAATAGGTACGAGATTAGTATGATATTTGAAAGCTTGTAGGTATACCTAGGTCATAAATTAAGAATAAAGACTATAGTTTATACCTGACTATTACATGACTTATAATCTTGTATAGGCATCTTCATAGATATTGCAGACTGCAGTTTACTGAGTTGAACTGCAAATGTTTTCTGGAATTATGTGCTACGGGAGGTGACATACGATGAGAGGGAGTGAGAGAGCTAGATACAGGAAGATAGAGTGAGAGAAACAGATAAAAGAATATTTCCGCATTTTATGCATTTTCAAACAGTGACAGTCCTGTTTAATTAAACAAATATTTTAGTTTGGTGTTCTATAGCGAAAATTATGTCCCAGTTTTTAAACATTTTAAATATTACCTATGTATACAAATTAAAAATAATGTATACCTAACAACACGTCTTATTTTCACAATGCTAAATTATTTATACCATTTTAAAATCCAATGACTATCTTAAACAATTAATGTATATTTTTCATTTCTGTAATAATAAATCATAATAATAGTTAATAAAATATAAAATAAAATATTGTAACATTCTATAATATTATATTTTGAATGAAAGGATTAAATAGGAATGACTGTTTGAGAAAATATTTATTTAATACATACTATTTTTCTCAAAACAGCAAAAAAATATAGTTTCATATTATGTAGGTATGGCATCATAAAAAATGAATACTAGAACGTATAAGTATAAATTATTGCTGTACTCGCTCATTTAAAGTCACTAATCACTAAAATTTGTGTAAAACTCGTGTAGGTAATAAGTAATAACAAATAAAAACGTCAATGAACAAGTAATAATAATTATTGAGTTTTGCAATAATAACATCATAGTATTATAATAGTAATCGGCAGTTTATCACTTATCAGCAGGTGTATATAATAATATGATGTGCATATTATTTAGTTACCACCTGTAAGGACAAGCCCCCTACTCTTGTGACAAGAGACTTGAGTTTTTGGCAAAAAAACCTTGTCGGATTGTCGGAATAATGTTCACGATGGATAATCTAATTTCAACCCGCATTTTTCATTTTCGTAGTTAAGTCCCAAGGTCATTTTCGCAGTAGGAAATGGAGAAAATAATAATGTAGGTGTAATAACAGTCATGTAAAAACACCACGCACCGATAAAGCGACGCTACTTAAAAAAAAAAAAAATACGAATATAATTTATAATAATATTATGTGTATTTTGAGTATGACCTTTCTAACGCCACTGCTTTTTCATCGACGACAACTAAGTATTTGAAAACTATTCGTCTGTTCCGCTTATGTCTTAACGCTATTATAATTTATTAGGTATCGATGATTAAGGTAGCCGGGACGGGACTAGAATGCGAGAGCTCTTTATCAACAATGTACAACCATGTACAACTTTATAGTGAAAATAATATTTTGTATAATAATTATACCCTTATTATTACAATAATAGGTATAGGTATAGGTATATATTTTATTATTATTTTACGAGGTGGAACGCTGCGGTGACAATAATAATGAATAATGCAGTGGGTACTTATACCAGTTATACCTATATTACATAATATATTTACTTACATACCACGACAGACGTGTAAGTATTTGGAAATGAGTGCGATGTGAAGTGCATATTGTAGCCTAACAAGTTGAGACCTAAGCGGTCCGGCTATCGTTGTTTATTACTTATTACATAATAATATAGGTAATCCACCGCCGTAAAACGAACAACGAATTCCGAAAGAATTGTATATTACATCCGACGGAGCGCGGCGTTGGTGTCTGGATGGAACTTTATATTTTTACTAAGCAATTAGGTATATTATACTATGCATAATATTGTAAATAAATTAATAATAATAATAATAATAATGTTTTATATGACAACTGCGTCTGGGTCGAATATAGGGAAAAAACGACAATGAAAAATATGTCAAGTAAAAAACGACAAGGTTTGTATTTTTAGTCATATTATTTGCTTAAGTGATTGTAATTTTTGAAAATTAAAAATATCTTTTTCAAGTCACTTAACACGTTGTGTGGCAGTTCATATTATGGCCTCTCGCTGGACGTCATTTGTATGATCCCCGGCTACAAAAATTGCATATTATACTTATTTTCTATTGTAAACTATGAACGCCCAGTTGGAGCTTATTGATTCATAACAATTATATCATGCATGTTTACTGTCTAGGTATTGGTGTATTACCCTGGGGTAGAGGGAAAAAAATAAGATTTTTATACCTAGTCTATGTGTCACCTTTATTTTTGTTTGTTAAACACACAGTTAAAATAACAACCTTCCAGAATAAATTATAAATTATTATGCACCTAGTATCTAGTCTAACTGTCGAATATTTTACGAATACATTATAATATTTTACTTGAAATCATTTTGGTCGATAAGCCATGCTTTTTTTCACAATCAATAATATAATCACAAACAACTTAATAATAATAAATGACGTCTTACCCCCGGTGACCATATTATGGCAAATTAATAACAATTAACAATGAGATCATACTAATACGCCGAATGCCCGACTACGACTATAATCGCATAAGAAATATATTAATTATTTAGCTATTATATTAAGCATTTAATGATAGTCTCTTAAAATATAATGATTTATGTCTAAAAAATACTTATGTAGTTTTTAAATAAATTTAGAATGCTTAAAATCACAAATATTATATGAATAGTACCTACACAAAAATGTTAAAAATTAATTACTAGAAAAAGATATTTGTAATTTGTAAGCGTGTTTTAATTCTTAAAAAATTATAAAAGTAAAACACATTCTGTGTCTTTTTTTACCCTTGTCGTTTTTTTACCGATTACTGTCTGGGTCACACACGGAATTAATTCGATTCTAACGAAAACGAGACGTGTCGATTATTATTATTGTATTGTTATTATTTATTTGCAAATTATTATTATTTTTATTATGGTTTTCACCTTCGAACACGTCGTCGCGTAATTCAGGAACCTCGGGACCACTCGGCGGGCTCAGTGTTGTGTGCATAAGAGCGATAAATGTAAAAGGTAAAATCAAATCAAATTTAATCAAACATAATTATTATATTGTGTAGTAAAACAAACAGGCATTAATCCACAGGCAACGGCGACATGGGAGGTGGTGGCTTATGAGACGGCGGAGGAGGTGTGCGTTGATTATTATTTCCACCGTCGTCGTCTCGTTTATTACATAGGAACAACGACCAACAGCGTAAAAAAATATATAACACGATAATAATATTATAACTACAATATAACATATTACAGTCGTGTGAGAAATATAATATTTTTATAACATTACAATATATGTTGTTGTTATTATTATTATTACTTTAATACTTTTAAATAGAGGCGCTGCTGTTATCAGACCGGACAAAGGCCGAACGATAAGATTTTAGTCGAAATATTATGTACTCGATTCCCTACTCCCGACTTACGTCTTCGTTGTTTGCGCAACACACACACACACACACACACACACACACACACGCGCGCGCCCACTCGCACGCACGCACACGTTCGGCCGTTATAAGGCGATCGCCGCTCGCTGTTCGAATGATTGTCACAGTCAGTCACGTGAAATCTTTCGGCCGCTCGTCTCACTCGTCGTGTGCAGCTTACCCGTCTCGATTGTAAACCGTCGCCGGAAAGACCGTTCCTTCCCGCAGCCGAGCAAATAGACAAAACCATGTTCGCCACCATTGCCGACGTCCGCGGGCTGATGACGATTGTCGTCGTACTGCTGATCGGCCAAGCCGTCCAAGCCGCCAATAACCAGCGCGAAATGAATACGATAGTCAACCCGGTAAAAGTCTCGAACGCGAAAGGTATGTACCTACCCACAGTGCGGGCGCTAGGTATTGTGTGGCCCCGGACAAGGTATTATCCATTACAGGAGGTACAACGAGGAGGGTAAAATTCTAGCTTTTTTTTAAATAAGGATTTTTAAAAAAAATATTGTTTTTCTTCGAATTTTAAACATTAAAAATAATATTATTAGGGTATTCTTATCCTTTTTTTCATTATAATGTGTTAACACAAGACTATTTACAAATAATAAAATAATAACTAATTAGGTACGTACAACAACAATATTATATAATTGAAGACTGAAGTGAGAACATATGAATTTTAGATACCTAAACAAATAAATATTTTAAGAATATAGCTGTTGTCCCTTCTATAATACTGCCAAACGGAAATACGGCAATAAGATGATAATTAAAAATCACAGAGCCTTTTAACAAGCACAAGCCCTGGACATGTGTCCCATTTGTCCTCCACTAGCGCCGGCACTGCCTACATACGGCCTGATGTGCCGGAAAGGTCCTGAATTCTTTAGTTTTATTTTAAGCTGTTTTAACGAGGCGATTAAACGAATAAACTACATGGTACCTCTATACATACATTATACGATACTAGCGGAAATACGAAAAAGTATAGGTACTTTACTTTTTTTTTTTATCGAAAGAATTGTTCTGTATTTTGAAGTACCCTCTAAGGGAATAATAATATAATAATAATATTATGAAAGAACCTAATGAATAAAATCCTAATACCGTGACGGTAAATCGCGATGTTCACAAAAATTCCATCTCCGAAAATCGAAATCCCGGTTACGCGGCTTGGTTGCGTATATTTAATGAAAAACCTTGTCGGAATAAACTTTATGATGGATAATCTAATACTTCAACCAGCATTTTTTCTCTCGTAGCTATATAATTATGTCCCAAGGTCGATTTCGCAGTGGGCAATGGCAAAACTATTAATAATCGGAAGGGGTATAAAAACCCTAATAATAGGAAAACACCACACACCGATAACTTCATAGGTATCGGTTCTGTCAAAGCGAAATAACATTATCATATATTTATAAGTCTCGACAAATAACGAGCTTTGGACGAATTTTATTTCTACAATGGATTATACAATCAAAACCGTACGCGATGTAACCTTAAGTTCTTAACAAAAACCGTCCATTATTGAAAGTGTGATAAAATATTAACATAACAAATAATGATACATTGCCTATTAAACTATATAATCGATTTTATCGAAGACGTTCGAAACTTTTGTATGCAATATCAATGTTCTTAGTGTGTTGTGATTCGATAACAAACAACCTTTGACTTGAATATTTTACCCCATATTAATGACATGTATTTTCTAGACGTCAAATCATTTTCTATTTGTTTTGGTTTTTTTTTGTTGTTTTTGTACTTTCTAGGCGTTTTCCTGTGAATATTGATAAAAAATGTTGTGTTCAATCAAAAATTTAGAGTTAAATTAATACGAGATTCCCTACAAGTTGTAGGTAACTGAAAACATTCTACAAATATCGACAATAAAATATATGGGTATAATTTTTATTTATATCACAATCAGTGGTAATCTTATTTCACTTAATCGAAAATTACTCCCTCTGGAAATTATTGAAGTGGCCCACTAGTCCATATACGACCGTGTAGATACTGGCTCTAGAAGTTCCCAAACTAATGATTGTACAATACTATGTGTATTACGAATGACGAAGTCTGTCGTCCGGTTTACACTTTATACCAAACTATCTGGTCGAATGGCGTGTAGCATTGAATATCAATAGGTACATGTATTTATAAATAATTAAATTCAATGTTAATAGTAATATTTATAATAATATTATTAGTCATTAAACACGCACATATAATATTATAATGTATTTTACCAGGAACCAATTCCAGTTGTTATACAACGCTAATCGATAAGCGATTTCTGATTTGCTAATAAGTTATTTACCACAAAAATTAAAAATAGTGTGTTTTTACTTTTTACTTTAATAACTCATTTGCATACCTATTTATTGTTTTATTATTACATTGCTATCAAATTATAATTATTTTTGAAATATAAAATATTGTATGGAGTTATGTCATAATAATAATTTATAAGGACAAGTAAGAGTGTACAATTGTAACATTAGAGTATCATTCGTAAATGAATGATCACTATTATGACGTATAAGAAATGGGCGGGTGGTTAATGGGTATTTCAGTATTTGTTATTTTTCGTTGTCGCCACTAAAAAATTTCGTTTCAGTGTAGTGGTATAAAACCTATATTAATACCAACTTTAATATCAAGCAATAATTTGTTTAATATTTATTTTATTTTTGTATGAACAAGTATAGACTTTATTTCGATGTATTTAGTTTGATTAATTATTTTTAAAGCACTCAAACAGTTACTTTTTCGTAATCCTTAGCATCAATGAGTGTCTGGATGTTCTATACGTGTATTTTTCTAGGTAAAAACAATTGCTGTTTGAGAAAGATATGTAAAGTGTATTGCGAGTAAATAATACATAAGTAATCAGATGAAAATCGTAGGTAGGTTACAAATTTTAGATTCTTTTAGATTCCCAGGTCTTAGTCCCTCAAATAATTAATTCGGTACCAAAGTCCCTCGAAAATAAATACAATAATACTTATTTAAAAAAAAAGCCGGAGTGGCGACAGTGGACGGCTTCTCCACTCAAGTCCCTCTGTGTTATATTGTGTCCTCATTCTAACCATCTATTATGCTTATTATACTAAATATTGTATAGATTGTAAAAGTCCAATAAAAAAAAAAAAAAAATGTCATGTAATGTAAATTAAATTTACATCAAATAATTATTTTAAATTTTGAATGAAGGGATCTTAAGATATTCATATACCACGAACCTACTCACACCGGTCTACGCGCGTGATACATCAGTGTTGATGACTTATGTGTTATGATAATAACAGCTGTATAGTTGTTACCATTTATTATATGCAATTTGTTTTGATTAAATTGATCCAACCTATTAGGCTATATTGTATAACTATTAGAAAAAAAATTTAAATACTTATGGTAATCTAAATACAAGACAATAATAATATCCTTTGAGTCTCCGCTCAGAATATTTTTACATCGTATACAACGATTTATCATTGAATTAACATTTTACGCATTTATCACAGTTACTCAATGACAAGGTTCCCTCCATCCCTACTATACAGCTGAGTGGCTTCCTTGGTTTTTACTTTGTTTTTGTTATGGTCCATCAGAGCAATATGATTCGGAATTTCTTATCGTACTCTGTTTTTTATATTTAATGGTAGAATGGTGGTCTTGGGTATACATGTGCAACTTATTAGGTATACTTTAACAGTTTGTAAAACTAGTTTATATTTATTAACAATGTACTTAAACTGTTGAACTACACTCTCCGTTTTTTTCTTAGTAACGATTAGTGTTTGAATATCATCAGTTTAAATTTAAATTTAACCATAGTATATACCTACCATAAACAGTTAGTCAACGCAGGCAAACAGTTAACAATTTATTTTAACAACTCTTTATTTTCAATGAAATTATCGAGCATTTAACTAGCTCTAAAAGGAGTTCGATAAAATCTATTTACACTAATGGCCAATGAGCCACGATATCTAATAAATTATAGCTAATGAAACAAATAAACAAAGTTTACCCAAAGTTTATATTGTTTTAATAATAATATTTAGTATGTAAAAGTAATATATTTTGAATTACAACGAGCGTAATAATAACACGAAGGTATTCATAAGTATATCGTAATTTCTCAATACGTTTCGACGGGTTTGAATGTTTGATTGCTAACTATTTAATATTTTTAAGAGCAACATTATTCGTAGACCAATATTAAGTTAATATCTTATATTCGTATGTTTATATTATCATATACATTCTTTTAATTCGAAATAACTAATTAATAACGTAAAATAAATTTTATACGACGTAAACAAAATTCAAAAACGTGTTTCTTTATTGTTATTGTGAAGTTTCGTCATCGACCATGATGGTCAGTAATATTACGAGTGCTGTCGTAATCGTACAATTTAGGCTCATACTGCATAATTTTCTCAGAATACAGATGTCATAAAATGCAATAATTAGTGTGCTAAGCTGTTGAAAAATGATTAGTATGAACTTAAAAAAGATCCCTTGCTATCACTCAAGAGTCAAGACTCAACGCCTAAAGACAAAAATGATGTACAATTTATATCTCAATGTGCAACTGTGATTTAATTTTTTGTTTGTCATCGTTATTATATTAGGTACACAGTAATTATTTATAATATTATTATATAGACTTCAAACATTTATAAGGATCAATCCTATAATCATTAGTTCTAGATTAGACTATGAAAATTAATGATGATTATAATTCGGAACATGAATAATTTATAATGTTTTTATAGGATGTTCACTGCTATAAAAATTTGATGTATGTCTCGCAAAATCCAAATATACAAATTTGAATTTGTAATTTCCTCTTTCGGAGTCAGACTTTTGTGTAATTATTTTGTTGAAACTAAATATACTTGAATTAAAAGTAACCCAGCACTTTAATTTAACCTAATTCTTTGATTATTTATATTTATATATATAGATATCTACTATTATTATATATTTTCTCAATTTGGTAGTAATGACGTACAGTCGTATTACACGTAGATACACACCGGTAAATCATAGAAAATTATTTGTTTTTTAATCACTCGTCTTTATTGATATTATAGTCATAAAAATAAATGTATATCTAATATAATTTTGAGAATTTTTTTTAATTATTTTAATATCATCAAGTTCCAAAGTTGGAAGTCCAAGCCTAATTTGATATTTGTCCCTGGGAATTTAAGGTAAAACGTTTTACAATTTTCAAATTGTATTTACCCCTTAATATTTATGATCTGTTTTGAATTTATAGACATTTAAAAAAAAAATTTGTTTTCACAGTGACTTATTGATGACAATGCGCTTGGGCGTTTATATCTTAAGCCAGA